ATTACAGGCTTGAGCCACCGCGCCCAGCCTAGAAAAATTGTCTTAGGCCACACATAAAATACACTAACACTAACAATAGCTGATTCACTAAAAAAAAAAATTACACAAAAAAACAGTGTTTTAAGAAAGTTCATGAATTTGTGTTAGGCCACTTTTCAAAGCCATCCTGGGCCACATGCAGCCCCTGGACTGTAAGTTGGATAGGCTTGAATTAATTGAATAAAAAGCTAAAAATGCAGGTTCAGCTTGAATCTGGGAGGGCCTGAACTGCCAGGTTACAATGTAAGGGCTTTATGCAGTGAGCAGTAAGGAAATGTATTTGGATAGAGATTGTTTTAATTAGCTTTATTAAATATAATCTGCATATAATAAAATTCACCCATGTTAAATACATGGTTGAGTAAGGTGTTTTTTGGTTGGTTGGTTATTTTTTTCTTTTTCTTTCTTTTTTTTTTTTTTTTTAAAGGCAGAGTCTTGCCTTGCTCCATTGCCCACTGGAGTACAGAGGCACGGTCTCAGCTCACTGCAACCTCTGCCTTCCAGGTTCAAGCCATTCTCCTGCATCTGCCTCCCACGTAGCTGGGATTACAGGCACCCGCCAACATGCCTGGCTAATTTTTGTATTTGTAGTAGAGATGGGGTTTCACCATGTTGGCCAGGCTGGTCTCGAACTCCTGACCTTTTGATCCACCTGCCTCAGCCTCCCAAAGTGCTGGGATTACAGGCGTGAGCAACTGTGCCCAGTTAGTGAATTTTAACAAATGTTTACAGTCACAGAAACCACACAAAGTATGAAATAGTTCTGTCCCCTAAAGAGGCACCAGGCAGTTCATCCTCTCTCCACCTCCTCCCAGCAACCATTGATCTGTTCTCTATCCCTGTAGTTTTGCTCTTTCTCGGATTTTATATAAATCAAACTCTACAATATGTAATCTTTGGTGTCTGGTTCCTTTCACTTAGTACAATGTGGAAGAGAGATTCTGTTGCATTAGTCTAAAATGTGACACCGAGAGCAGGAACCAGGGTGCTAATGGTGAGAACAAAACGTTTCAGAAAACTGTAGGTTATTATAAGGGCAAAAATTGGGTTAAACAAATGTGAGGAAGAAGAGACATGGAAGTATAGGAGGTTGTGCTCAGAAGAGTGCTCACAAGAGTCTGGGATTTGGAGAAGGAACATATTCAAAAAATAATAAACTCCAGTGGACGGCAGAAGTAGATATGAAAGTCATCAGGAAAGGGATTGGTGGCCTCTGTAGTCTCAGTATGTGATGATTCATTAATGTGAATGTTGATATTAGGAATGATGGGGAGAGAGAGATGAAACAATGAACCAGATATTGATCCCATCCAAAAAGGTAGAAGAATCTTTGAGTTTATTTTAAGACTGGAGAAAAGCATTGGATAAGTAAATGTTACAGAATTCCAAAAAGAAAGGCTATAAAGGTGTAGCACTGGAATGAAAGGCTGGAAGTAGCGGTGAGGAAGAGGGACGTCTTGACCTGTTCTTTCTTCCCCAGTGCTATGGACTGAATTATGTCCCCCCAAAATTCATTTGTTGGAGCTCTAACCCCCCATGTGATGGTATATGGAGATGGGCCCTTTGGGAGATGATTAAGTTTACATCTTGAGAGTAGGGTAACCCTTTAAGGGATGGAACTGTTTTACACTTTGTGTTATTTACTTGACTGTAAACATTTGTTAAAATTTACTCAACTGCATACTTAAAATGGGTGGATTTTATTATAAGCAGACAATAATAAAGCTGATGGTGTCTCCTCATGGTGGGAATAATGCCCTTATAAGAAGAGATACCAGAGAGCTTGCTGTCTCTCTTTCTCTGCCACGTGAGGACATAGCAAGAGACAACCATCTGTAAGCCAAGAAGAAAGCGCTCATGAGACCCACCCATGCTAGCACCCTGATTTCAGCCTACCAGCCTCCAGAACTGTGAGAAAATAAATAAATTTCTGTTGTTTACTCTACCTAGGGTATGATATTTTCTTATGGCAGCTTGAGCTAAGACCTCCAGTGAGCCACAGAGATGAGTGAGAAAGAACTTCCAGTAGACCTTCAAGGGAAGTCAAAGAGTAGGAAAAAGTTAACTTGCATTGCAGTTAAAGCATGGAATTCTTTAGAAAACAGAGTGATGATGAGTATGAGGGAGAGTTTATTCACAATATAACAGTAATAAAAGAATGAATATTTGAAAAATTTTCAGGGTAAATTCTGTATCCTTTTTCTTTTGCCTAGAGAGGGGCTTTATGATTTTGGTGAAATCTGTTAGTTTTCAAAGAGATAGAGTTTGGGTAATCATTCTCCTGCAGTTCCCCTGTGCTACGCAGGATAAAATAAAATCCATATGCATTTTCTTCTATTAATCTGTCTTTTGTCAGTTGATTTTCAGCAAACCTTCAGAGGCCAAGGCGGGAGTTTTTCCTTGGCCTTTACACCTTCTTCCAGAGTCCAAGCAATGTGGTTCCTCAATAGAATAGGTTCAAACATCTGGGCTTAGTGTAAGTAGCTACAATAATGACCTCAGCAGAGAATACCCACCTTGAGGGAGTGTGACACTCATACCCGCAAAAGTCTAGTTGCCTTTTGGTGTGTGGCTCAGGAGTATAACTGACTTCTCCAGGGATTGAATGTAAGCGAGACCTAAGTGACCCAGGGGTTTGGATGAAGCAGATCTGGGTTTGAACTGGAGCTCTCAGAGGCTGCTGCTTTCTGGGTTTCAGTTTCCTTCTAACACCTGCCTTAGGATGCCCTTGTAAGAAGAAACTGAGATGATGAGGCACTTTGTACTTTCCCTGTCTAGCCTTGCCAGAGTTTGTTATTCTTGTATATATTTGTTTGTTTGCCTTTTTTCTGGCCTGCTTCAGTACTCTCAACCCTGTGAGGGAAGGAGCCTTGTATTTCACAGTCACTACTGTGTCCCTTACCCCATCTTTACATAGCATAGGGCCTGGCAGAGTAACAGTGGAATAAATGGATGAAACTGTCTGCGTGTAGGATTGCCATGAAGATAAGAGGAAATCTCTTCATTCATGTGATATGTATTAAGTATCCTCTGTGGGCCAGACACTGAAACAGCAATGGATAAACAGACAAATTTTACCATAGCAAAGCTTAACATTTTAGTGGGAGAGACAGACAATAATCATTTTTAAAAATATACTAAATTAGTGATAATTGCTGAAGAGAATTCAAATGTGGAAAGGAATGGGAAGTGTTGGGAGGGTGGCCACAATAAATAAATAAATAAATAGATAGATAGATACAGTTTAAGAATGAAGGACCAGGCGCAGTGGCTCACGCCTGTAATCCCAGCACTGTGGGAGGATGAAGTGTGCAGATCATTTGGCGTCAGGAGTTTGATACCAGCTTGTCCAACATAGTGAAACTCCATCTCTTCTAAAAATACAGTAATTCGCTGGGCATGGTGGTGTGTGCCTGTAGTCCCAGTTACTCAGAAGGCTGAGGCAGGAGAATTGCTTGAACCCAGGAGGTGGAGGCTGCAGTGAGCCAAGATCACACCACTGCACTACTCCAGCCTGGGCGAGAGAGCTAGACTCCATCTCAAAAAACAGGACAAAGCAGAGAATTAGAGCTCTGTCTAATAGTTGGTTCTTCTCCTGTTTTTTCCATATACAGAGCAGTACAGTGTATGGGCTGAGAACAAGATTGTAGCCAGGATGTCTGAATTGAAACTCAGTTTTATCACTTAGAAGGTGTGTGGTACAGAGCAACTTTCTTAACCCTTTTTGCCTTATTTTCGTCATCTGTAAAATTGAAACAATAATTGTTCTTGTCCCCTAGATTATTAGGAAGATTAAATGAATTTGCATGTATAAAGTGCTGAGAATTGAGCCTGGCTTATGATGGGGAGTCCTATGGACACAGGGTATTAGGAATAATAATTACTGTTATGCTTATAAATGGCAGTACCAGCCAGCCAGTTGCTGAAGCCAAAACCCTATGATGAGGAACAGTAATTACCTAGTTAAGATTAATTGGCATTCCTATGCACCAGGCACCATGCTAAACCCTTTACATGGATTACCTTGTACAATTATCAACACAGTGAGGGAGGTATGATTGGTCTCCCCATTTTACTGTTCAGAAAACTGGCATTAAGTCAAAGGACTCCTTCAAAGTAATCTTCTTTCAAGACCTTTCAGGTCTTATGAATTTGTAGTTTCTATTCTCTTCTCAAACTCAGGAAAAAGAATCACATTTACAGTTCATTTAAAGCCTGCATGGTAACCTGGTTACTAAGATCTAGCCTGTCATGCAACCCTGTCTTTAAAATTGACCATAGGCTGGGCTCAGTGACTCTCACCTGTAATCCCAACACTTTGGGAGGCTGAAGTGGGTGGATCACTTGAGGTCAGGAGTTCAAGACCAGCCTGGTCAACATGGTGAAACCCCATCTCTACTAAAAATACAAAAGCTAGCAAGGCTGCTGTCACACACCTGTAATCCCAGCTACTCAGGAGGCTGAGGCAGAAAGATTACTTCAACCCAGAAGGCAGAGGTTGCCATGAGCCCAGATCACGCCATTGCAATCCAGCCTGGGCGACAGAGGGAGACTCTGTCTCAAAAATAATAGGCCGGGTGCGGTGGCTCAAGCCTGTAATCCCAGCACTTTGGGAGGCCGAGGCGGGTGGATCACGAGGTCGAGAGATCGAGACCAACCTGGTCAACATGGTGAAACCCTGTCTCTACTAAAAATACAAAAAATTAGCTGGGCATGGTGGTGCGTGCCTATAATCCCAGCTACTCAGGAGGCTGAGGCAGGAGAATTGCCTGAACCCAGGAGGCGGAGGTTGCGGTGAGCCGAGATCGCGCCATTGCACTCCAGCCTGGGTAACAAGAGCGAAACTCCGTCTCAAAAAAAATAATAATAATAATAATAATTAATAAATAAATAAAATAAAATAGACTATAATCCTTTTCCTACCTCCATTGACTGCTTTATTTATATCTTGTTTTCCGTAGAATTTCCAGATGATGTTAATCCAGTGACCAAAGAAAAAGGTGGACCCAGGGGCCCAGAACCTACCCGATATGGAGATTGGGAACGAAAAGGGCGCTGTATTGATTTTTAAGTCACATACTCTTTAACCTCAGTATTGTTTTCTGAATACGGACATCTGAATTAACTTATTTCTGATTATTTTATTTCTTTATGTCCTTCATGTTATATAGTTTCCATAATGTGTTTAAATGTATATACAATGACTTTGGAAGAAAATATGCTGCTATAAATTAGGAAAGGGAAAATATTTTTTCATTAACATATGTTAATTTAATAAGTATAGAAATATAGTTTTTTTTAGACATAGTCTCGCTGTGTTGCCTAGGCTGGAGTGGAATGGCACTATCCCGGCTGCAACAACCATCCCACCAGGTTCAAGCAATGTTCTTGCCTCAGCCTCCTGAGTACTGGGATTATAGGAACCCACCACCATGACATAGTCTCTCTATGTTGCCCAGGCTGGGGTGGAATGGCACTATCCCAGCTGCAACAACCACCCCACCAGGTTCAAGCAATTTTCTTGCCTCAGCCTCCTGAGTACTGGGATTATAGGAACCCACCACCATGCCTGGCTCATTTTTGTATTTTAAGTAGTGACAGGGTTTTGCCATGTTAGCTGATCTCGAACTCCTGACCTCAGGTGATCCACCTGCCTTGGCCTCCCAAAGTGCTAGGATTACAGGAATGAGTCACCACGCCCATCCTAGAAATGATTCTTAGAGCTGTAGGCCTTTACTTCATCATTTTTCAGTTTAAATTAGTTGCTTACAAAATGCACAAATAAAATAATTTTTTAAAAATGATTGTGTTGCTGTGTACTAGGGCATAGTGGCTTTTAAAATGAGAGTTAAATAATGCATTATAGTTTGAGACCACAAAAATAACAGAAAATCTTAACTTGGAGCCAGTTAATTACTTACTCAGTTACTTGGGCTCAAATTCTGACTCTACCTCTTACTAGCTATGTGACCTTAGATAACTTATTTAACTTCTCTGTGCTTGTGTGTAAGTGGAAATAGTAATACTTCTGATGCTGGTAGACTGGAGGAGGTCCCCCAACACTGGTGGGACCTGAACTCCAGCCCATATCCAGGCTCTTGACACCATGATGAGAAGGAATTCAAGGACAAGTCAGAAAATAGTCAAAGTACTGAGATTTATTGCAAAGTGAAAAAGTACACATTCTGCTGGGTGCGGTGACTCACATCTGTAATACCAACACTTTGGGAGGCCAAGGTGTGTGGATCACTTGAGGCCAGGAGTTTGAGACCAGCCTGGCCAACATGGCAAAACCCCGTCTTTACTAAAAATACAAAAATTAGCTGGGTATAGTGGTGCAGGGCTTTAATCCCAGCTGTTTGGGAGGCTGAGGCATGAGATTCACTTGAACCCAGGAGGCAGAGATTGTAGTGAGCCAGGATTGTGACACTGCACTCCAGCTTGGGTAACAGAATGAGACACTGTCTCAAAAAAAAAAAAAAAAAAAAACTACACATTCAAGAAAGAGGAGTATGGGCATACTCAAGAGAGTCACTCTGGAGTTTAAGGCTTCTACCTTTACGTGCTTCTGTCCAAGAGGTGGAATATTCATGAGGATTCCTGGAAAAAGGTGAGGATTTCTTGGAATTGTGGTGCCACCGATTTTTACACCAAATACCAGTGTTCCCAGAATAGTCATGGTACTGGTCTCTGTGTGCTTTAGTATGTTAATGAGCATATAATGAGGTACTAGGTGAAACCCAGGTCAAATCCAGTGCCGCTGGGTCCAGTAGGCCTTAGCCAGCTTGGCTCACATTCTGGTTTTTCAGGATCTCATCAGCCCTTAGTTTATTCTCATCAGCCCCTAGTTTATGCAGCTATTTCAACAGTTTCCTTTTTGCTAGTCATGTAAAACTGCTGCCTGGAATTTTCTGTTCTCCTGCGACCACCCCATATTATTCCTGTCTCACTTTTACTTCACAGGGAAGTTGAGAAGATTAAATGAATAAATAACATGTAATTAGTCAGGATTCTTCAATAGGAGAGAGAGAGATTAGAATTGACTCATGCAGTTCTGGAGGCTGAGAGTCCCATGATAATGCCATCAGCAAGCTGAAGACCTGAAGACCCAAAAAAGCCCGTGGTGTGATTCAGTCTGAGTCCCAAGACCTGAGAACCAGGGGAGTCGTGATGTAAATCCAGTCTGGGGCAAAGAAGATGAGATGAGATGCCCCAACTCAAGCAATGAGGCAAGAAAAAAGGAGTGAATTCCTCCTTCGTCTACCTTTTGTCCTATTCATGCCTTCAATATATCAGATAATGCGCAGCTACATTGGGAAGGACAGACTACTGAGGTCACCAGTTCCAATGCTAATCTCATTCAGAAACAGCCTTACAGACACATCCGGAAACAATGTTTAAATTGGTACAACAACATGTTAGCCACTTGGAGCAGTGTGTAGTATAGTACATACTTCTCAATAAGTGTTAACTATCCTCAGATTATGAATGTATTTTTCCAAGTCTCTAGGCATTGTGGGTGGAAAGATTTTAAAAAACGAAATTTGAAATACTTGAAATTGTTTTATACAACATTTAAAATGTTATTAGTTGAAAATGGTGATTATTTACCTGAGTGAACTGAAGTATATATATTTTAGTTTGTGGAACATAAAATTCACCTAAGTGCTATGGTTTGCAAGTTTGTCCCCTCCAAAACTTATGTTGAAACTTAATCCCCAATGTGGCAGTATTGAGAGGTGAGACCTTTAAGAGGTGATTGGCCTTTAAGAGGGCAGAGCCCTCATGAAGATTAATTCATTTATGGATTAATAGACAAATAGGTTATAATAGAAGTGGAGCTGGTGCTTTATGAGAAGAGGAAGAGAGACCTAAGCTAGCATGTTAGCATCTGAGCACACTCAGCCCACTGGCCCTGTGATGCCCTGTGCTGCCTCAGGACTCTGCAGAGAGCTTTCACCAGCTTCAAGGCCCTGGCCAGATGTGCCCCTTGACCTTCGACTTTCTGGCCTCCAAAACCATAAGAAATAAACTTCTTTTCTTTCAGAATTATCCAGTATCAGGTATTCAGTCATAGCAAAAGAAAATGGGCTAAGAAAACTGGCCCTGGAAGTGAAGTTTTGGTATAAAGTTACCTGAAAATGCTTCCACAAGCTGCATCGGAACAGGATAATGGGCAAAATTGGAAGAGTTTGAAGGAGCAGGATAGAAAAAGCCTAGATGCTGATGAGGGATTAGAAGACAAGAAGACTAGGGGAAGTTTAGAACTTCCTAGAGATGATTTAAGTGGTTGCGACCAGAATGCTGATAGAAATATGGACAGTAAAGGCCATTCTGACGAGGTTACAGATGGAATTGAAGACCAGGGTATTGGAAATGGGAGTAAAAGCCTTTCTTAGAAATCGGCAAGGAATTTGGCTGGATTGTGTCCATGCCCAAGGCTAGGTGTTTTATAGCAACACCCTACTCCCAGCCATTTCCAAGGAATGCTGAACTTAAGACGATGAATTCGAGTATTTGATAGAAGAAATATCTAAGCAACAAAGCATCAGGCTATTGCATGGCTACTTTTAACCACTTACATTAAACTGCAAGAAGGAGTAAGTGACTTAAAGACAGAATTTATAATCAAAAGGGAAGCAAAGCAGAAAGATTTGGGAAACTCTAAGCCTAGACTTGGTAGAGAATGAAAGAGCATTTTCAGCAGAGAAAAGCAAGGGTGTGACCAAGCCACTTTTTGCTAAAGAGATTAATATGGCTAGAAAGGAGTCAGAGATTATTCATCAGGACAATGGGAGAAAGATCCCAAAGGCATATCAGAAATCTTTGAAGCTGCCCCTCCCATCACAGTCCTAGAGGCCTAAAATGGCAAAATAAAGGGAAGGCCTAGGGCACTCTCTAAGGCAGGCGTCCCCAAACTTTTTACGCAGGGGGCCAGTTCACTGTCCCTCAGACCGTTGGATGGCCACCACATACTGTGTTCCTCTCAATGACCACCAATGAAAGAGGTGCCCCTTCCTGAAGTGTGGCGGGGCGGTGGGTTGCGGGGGGTGGGGGGGGCGGATAAATGGCCTCAGGGGGCCGCAAGCAGCGCGCCAGCCATAGTTTGGGAACGCCTACTCTAAGGGCCTACTGCCTTGGGCCTCTGCTGGCATTCTGGCTGCTCAGGCAGCTCTAGCTCAAGTGGCCCCCATTGGGACTCGACCTGCCACTCCAAAAGGTCCAAGCTGTAAATCTTGGCAGCAGTATCCAGTGATGCAAGTGGTTTCAGATGCTGCTTGCTGGTGCCCCCATTCTAGAGTTCACAAGCAGTAAGCCCTGGTGGCCTCCACATGGTGCTAATTCTGCAGGCACATAGCAAGAGCTGTGAGGCATAGCAGCTTCCACCTAGATTTCAAAGATGTATCAGACAGCCAGTGGGCCCATGCAGAGTCTTATTGCAGAGGCAGAGCCACTGCAGAAAGCCCCTCTACTAGGGCAATGCCGAGTGGAAATATGGGACCAGAGCTGCTACAGAAAGTTTCTACCAGGACAGTGTACTCTGAGCCACACAGGCAGGACCACCCTGGGACCCCAGAACTGTAGAGCTACTGGCATGCAACACCAGCCTGGAAAAGCTGCAGGCACCTGACTCCAACGTGTGAGAGTAGCCACGTGGACTACAACAAGCAAAGCCATAGGCATGGGATTGGCCAATGTTTTGGAGGCCCACTACCTACCTCAGTGTTCACAGGATGCCTGCATGGAGTCACAAGAGATTATTCTCCACCTTCAGGGTTTTTTTCTTCCCCCACCCTGCCCCCCGCCAAGATGGAGTCTCATTCTTTTTTCTGTCACCCTGGCTGGAGTGCAATGGCATGGTCTCCACTCACTGCAACCTCTGCCTCCCAGGTTCAAGCAATTCTCCTGCCTTAGCCTTCTGAGTAGCTGGAATTACAGGCACCCACCACCATGCCTGGCTAATTTTTTTGTATTTTTAATAGAAACGGGGTTTCACCATGTTGGCCAGGCTGATACTGAATTTCTGACCTCAAGGGATCCTCCCGCGTCAGCCTCCCAAAGTGCTGGGATTCCAGGCATGAGCTGCCGTGCCCAGCTGAGTTTTAATGTCTGCTCTGCTTTGTTTCTCACTTGTTAGGGGCCTGTTACTTCACTTTTCTTTCCTATTTTTCCCTTCCCTTTTGGAATGGAAATGTATATCCTATCCTATGCTCTTG